TATTTATTTATTATGAATACAACTGTCTACTTAGATGAGTAAATTACAGTCCACCCTCCTCACCTATAAACATGGCATACTTAAATCCCACTTGCAGAAGCACGAAAGAATAATTAACTCCATAATACATGATAAATAACTAACCATCATTTCATTGGCAATTAGGCAACTAAAAATAAGTAGTTGTTAATTAGGTTCTTCAACTAATGTCCTTCTCAGCTCAAAATATTGCAATCCACCCATCAAACAATTCACTATCTCTAATTATTTCCATTCATATTACGATTCTTTCCATTTACATCCTTCTAGATCATTAACAGTTTCCATAAGGGGAATAGAAACTCAAAACTCTGATACATTAGATAGAAAAGAAGTTGATATTATGAGTCATATGGCCTAATGGTAGATAAAAGGAAAGTTTACTCACAAAAGATTGATTCCAGGAACTAGAGATTTGCAGTATCAGCATCTAGAGAACCAAAATGCTTTTAAGAAAACCATATTTAGCTACACTAGGGCAAAAAGTACAATTAGATGTCAAAAACTGTTTCTCCTACAAGTTATAGTTATGTGATAATCCAAGTGTTGATTTCAGAAAAAGCATTTTCTTTCTTCTTTTGCTCAACCTTTACTCATTCAACAAAGTTACTACTTTTTTACATTTGATCCTTTTCAACATCCCTGATTTTATCATCTACTTGGGATCCTAAAAGAAGTAACAAAACCAAAAGAACATGTAAAAATAAGATGTTACCTTTTGCAAGATCTTGAGCTCCTCCCAGGCATTCCACTTCATCTTCTTTATGGCATAAACCTCCCCATCAATGGATCCTTTATATACAGACCCTTGAATCAAGTAACTGTCACTGAACCCATCAGTGGCTTCCCTCAGTTCTTCAATCTTAAACACTCTGTACTTGTCCAAGCAGTCTGAAACATCCGCCATTAAATTCATCTCCATGTCCTTCATCCCCATCCCACCTTGATTGAATTGCTGCTTCTGCTTCCCCTCATCCCTTTCCATCTCTTTCTTCTTCAACAGAACCCCTCCACAAATCAGCACTCCGATGGCCAAAATCAACAGTAACCCACAAATTCCCAACCCAATTGCCAATCCTGTAATTACCCCTTTCCTCTCTGTCTTTCCGGACGGCGAGGCAGGAGGCGAGGTAGGAGGGGAGGCAGGAGAAACGGCCGGCTGAGATAACTGGGGAAGCTGGGTTACCGGAATGAAAATGGTGTTAAAAGTGCTGATATTATTGCCATTTACGCTGGTTATAGACTGGGTTTCGACTCCGAACCTGGTAGCCACGGAAGCTATGGTGTCGGAGGGTTGAAATACATAAGAAACGAGGTAATTCACTCCATTCTGCAACTGGGTTTGATTCGGGCACTTGCAGAAAATCGGGAAGATTACGTTGACGCCAATGGAGAGATTGGTGGGGACGAGGGTGGGATTGACGATCTCGACCGACTCGTAGGTGGTGAGGTTCTGGAACTTATCAGTCGAAACGAGATAAAAGGTATCGAATTGCTTGATCGTGTAAGTGAGGTTAGCAAAAGAGATGGTGTAGGTGGCGTTCAAGGTGTTGCAAGAACAGGTTATGGGAACGAAGAGGGGCTGACCGGTAGGGAGAGTGGCGGAAGGGGAGGAGATGTTACTGGGTTTCGCAATCATGAGGCGGCTAACGGAGAAGAGGTCGCCAATAGAGCCGAGGTCGAGGAAATCCGGAGACGTGGTGCGGTAGAAAACATAGGTCTGGCAAGGGGAAACGGTCTGGTTGCGGGTGCAGGTGTAGCCAGTGGTGGAGGGTTCTTGAGCTCGGCCATGGCGGAAGCAGAGGAAGAGTAGGTAGAGAACAGGGGAGAAGGAGAAACAGAGTGCCCTTCTCATCCTTGGTGCTCTGTTTTCATGTTCAGATTTTACTACGGATTTTATAGTCTCTCCGGGATCAACAGTTAGGCATGAAAGTGGACACTTTGGATTGGTTCCCAGATCACTGGTGGGTCCCACCTGGT